TAGATTCACTTGGAATGAGGTCAATTGCTTTCAGCGTAATGGTCTAATCACAGGCTATACAGTGATTATCAGTAACAGTAGTATCACATACAACCTTACCAGTACTGAGAGATATATCATATTGAATGATCTAGTATTTGGTACTGAGTATAACATCAGTGTAGCTGCTGTCAATTCTGTTGGAAGAGGTCCCTTCAGTGATCCTATTGTAGTAGAGATTGGAATAGGTATGTAATTATTATACTGTATCAGCTCTATGAGGATGTGTGTTTATTTAGGACCTGGTCCAGTTGGTTCAGTATCCAGTATCATGGACACTACATGGGCTGTTATCTCATGGAGTGTACCTAGTTATATTCCATCAGACTATCCCATTATCACATATGAGAATAGGATATCATATTCTTTTTGACAAATGTTGCTGTTCAACAATAGACAATGATGACATTGATAATCAAAAGCTACAGCTTTCTAATTCAACTAATGGCAATACATTTACTGCTAGAATCAATAATCTTGATGCTATGTCTTGTTATATTTTTGGTGTACGTGCATACACAGACAGAGGACCTGGTGGATGGGTCTTTATTGCTAATGAGACATTGATCAGTACTCAATTTGTGACACTAACACTAGTAACTACTCAAGAAGTAGAATCAACTAATACAGGTATAATAATAATTGTGCTGAGACAAAAATAATTTCATAGTAATTATTTTTAAATTAATAGTATCAGGAGCTGTTGATGGTGCTAGTATTGGACTGGGTGCAGTGGTTGGATTATTATTAATATCACTAGCTGTTAGTATCATTATTCACATCTACTGCTTTATCAAGTATGAATACATTATCAACCATAAAATACAATAGTTAATGTTGTTTTATGTATAGGCTTAAAACCTATGATGCAACCACTGCTAAGCAAACCAAGTAAATAAACAACCAGTAACTGTTTATACATTACTATTGTTTATTGTTTATGATAGGTTTGTTGATGATATACCAATGCAAGCCTGTGAACCATATGGTATTCACAAGACTAAAGATGTTACAAAAGAGGCAGTATATGAGTGTCCTGATGTCAATGTTAATGATACTGCTATTTATGAAGAAACATAACTTATGAAACACAGCAGTATAAAATGTCAGTGTGCTTGTATAATTTTGTCACTGGATAGCAACATAAATATACACAAATACCATAGATACATGTGTATTATATCTATGCAAATGCATACATACTTTTCTAGATATAGATTTCAGTTCTGGAGTGTCACTGTATTCATACTGCTCATGGCTACTCTATTATACTGTATTTACGATTTGTAATCACATTGGTGTTATTATAACTACTTTCGGTGTCCAGTTAGTCAAATTTTTGCAGTGTTTGTTATTTATTCTATTGATGCTATCTAATCAATGAACTTTATATAGTAAGGTGTCATGTTATTAAAAGGTTCAAACTGAAACTAAGGAAATTCTCTGAAGATGCAATAACAGGAACTGCTATATAAAGGAAATAGTGTACCTCACACTGGTCCAAACTTCCAAGTTATAAAAATATTCATGTGCAATAAAATTTCACACACTCAATGCTTGCTAGTTGTTACATGTGTAAACCTAATTTTAATTTACTTTCAAAGATTAACTCATTTCCTTGTGAGGTTCGACTACTTTTCTTTAAAATTATAAAGAAGATACACATGTACAAAATAAAAGAACCTCATTAACCTGCTTTAATCTATGATAATAATAATAATAATAATAATAATAATAATAATGATAATAATAATAATAATAACAACAACAATGCAAAAATAAAGATACAATAACAAAAAACAAGATACAATAACAAAAAACAAGATACAAGGTCAAAAATATTCAAAAACAAAAAAGGAATGTATTATTAAAGACAATGCTATGAGTCCTACACATAATAATGTATGTACTTTATGCTCCCTAAAATGCAGTGAGAAGAGATTGCCTGTTGGTTTATTATAAGTAAAAACATGCACTGTCACTACTACTGTATGTCCTATTGAAGTTTGTCTATTATAATATTGTGTGCATAAATGTCATGTGATCATCATGTGCTGAGTGGCTTGATCTGTGGGTGGGTTAGTATCTCTTAGTGAGGTGGTCAGGGTTGGTGTATCAACCTTAGTGAGGTGTTGGTATTGGTGTATGATATTTATGCTGCATGCCATCTGGCTCCATAAATGTTTTGAATTATCCAATTAGACAATTATTCAATAATTATTTGTGTTACTATGGTTATAGCTATGCCCAGGACTCCTGCCATGCCTTATGCTAAAATTTTTCAGAGCACTGTAGAATACCAGTAATTGCACTTTTGAGCAGAGCAGGCAACCCTGGCATTCCATCGTGATAATCTCAGTTTCATAGTTTCCCTCCTGAATATATGTACATGCATAATGTACACTACAGACTCTTTTAACACTACACAACAAACCTAAGTTCTATTTGCACCAAATGGTCTCTCTTGTATAAGTTGTAATGGTAAATCCCTTTAACATCGTATAGTATTGTTGCTGCTATTGTTACATCATGTAGTCATGTACACACAGGGAGTGGGCCACACTATACTCAGTACAATCTGCTGAGCTATCACAACAGTTTGAGTTTGATAAACACACCCACTGACATTTCTTTGGTCAACAATGCTTTCCCTACAAGTGGTTGTCTTCTTGTTGAGTGTCAGTGAAGTTATTAGTCAATGTCCACCTTCCTCAGGTAAGACACTGGATGTGTATAATAACAACTGTATAGGTTTTTACAGGTATCTACCTGAGGCATAATGGAAACTGTTATACTAATAATGGATCATTTTTTATTGACGCTACTATCAGACCAACTCCTATAGAGTGTGGATTACCTGATGCTACTCTGAATGGTGGACAATGGATTGGTCCTAATGGAGAAGTTCCTTGTGATGGTGGTAACAATCAAAATGTTCAATGTACTACTGGGTCAGCTGCTAACCTCAGTGTTCACATAAATCCAGCTAATGGCTATCTTGGGGCAAATGGTGATGGCCTGTATATGTGTTGTCTACCCACTAGTTGTTCAACTCCTGGTACTAACATCATCACTACCACTATATTCAGTAAGAGGAGACTATAATCACTTACTGATGTGATAATTTTCATTTGTAGGATTTGCAGAGATAGAATCATTTACTGTTGCTGATCTTCCTTCTGATATGACAGTATATCCTCAGGAATACAAACTGAATTGTACTAAAATTGGACACGATACTTATGATATTAGTATGAGCATTGGTGGTAGCACTACACTTGCTAGTTACACTGGATGTAATGATAATAGTTGTGGTGGTACTGAGTTAAGTGGTGCTGCGGTTTTAGACACAGTAAGATATACTTTTGATATCACATGGGATGGAATGACTGTCAGTAGTGGATCAATCAGTCAATCAACCACTGGAGATCAAATGTATCAGTGCAGAGTAGCAGATAGCCCTGGTGGTAATGAAATTAGAATACGTAATGTAACTATAAAAGGTAATGTCAATGAATGCTAATAATTTTGATACCAATAATATTAGTACCAGCAACTGCTCCCTCTTCTCTTACTGAGGTCAACAAGACAGCTACCACTATCACTGTCAGTTGGACTGCACTTGATTCATCTGATGCTGATGGATATGTAGTCAATGTCACTAGTGACACAGACACTGTGCAGACAGTACAGGTGGAGGGAAGTAGTAATAATACAATCACACTGAATGGACTGAGAGCAGTAGCAACTTATAGCATCACAGTCAGAGCCTATCAACAATTACTGGGACCTGCTAGTAGTGCAATCAGTGTACAGACCTTACCAGGTATTGCTACTGCACCTTTTAATGTACTTGTAACATTGTTGATGTATTTCTAGTTATTAATTCAATCAATTGGACACTAGTCTCATCCATTACACAACTCAATAACACTCAATATCGTATTGATTGTCTCACAACTACTGATATAAATCCTTCAACTGATGTTTACTGGTTAGTGAATGGAGTGATGAAGAATAGCTCAATATATACATCAATTGATGCCCTGACATACAACAACACACTACTGGTATATCCTGATCCACTGGGAGTGTCAGTTAATGTTACCTGTATAGTAATGATTGGAGGAGTCAACTACAGTCAATCTGTGATATTACATGGTATGATTATACTTTAATCATTAGTAGATACCTCTGTCCCTTTTCTAGCTCCTAGTGGTCCTCCAAATAATGTGAGAGGGTTTATATTAAATGTTACTAGTATCAAAGTGAACTGGACCAGTTCATCAGAGACTAATGGATATGTGATTGAGTATACTACTGGAGGTGTAACCAGGAATGTAGTATCTACCAGTGAAGATGAAATTGTACTATCAGATCTCTCACCAATGAGTACCTATACCATCAGTGTGTACTCATATATAGATCTTCCTTCAGTTAATAGTACAATAACAGTGTTAAGATTTGATGGTGAGTTATTATGATTGAGAGAGTGTAATTGATATCTGTTGTAGTTCCTAGTCCAGTAACTAGTCTTTCAGTATCTAATGTGTCAACCACTGGTATTACAGTGAACTGGACTATTCCCAGTAGTGACAACTATGTAACATACTACACCATCTCCTATGCTTCATCTTGTGCCCAGTTATCATCAGTGAATGAGACAGTCTCTGTTGGTCCTCATCAGTCCACTACAACATACAGTTATACATTAATAGGTCTGTACAGTGGTATGAACTATACCATCACAGTGAGAGCTGGTAATGTACTAGGAGGATCTGAATTAAGCATGAGCACATCAGCACAAACTGAAGCAATGAGTTGTATGTTAATGTGTTTTCAATATTCAAATTAATTATATTTTTTAGTACCTAGTGGTTGGCCTTCATCAATTCAAGTATTACAAGTTAATTCTACAGCTAATAGATTCACTTGGAATGAGGTCAATTGCTTTCAGCGTAATGGTCTAATCACAGGCTATACAGTGATTATCAGTAACAGTAGTATCACATACAACCTCATCAGTACTGAGAGATATATCATATTGAATGATCTAGTATTTGGTACTGAGTATAACATCAGTGTAGCTGCTGTCAATTCTGTTGGAAGAGGTCCCTTCAGTGATCCTATTGTAGTAGAGATTGGAATAGGTATGTAATTATTATACTATATCAGTTCTGTGAGAATGTGTGTTTACTTAGTACCTGGTCCAGTTGGTTCAGTATCCAGTATCATGGACACTACATGGGCTGTTATCTCATGGAGTGTACCTAGTTATATTCCATCAGACTATCCCATTATCACATATGAGATAGGATATCATATCTTACAGTCTGGTTGCTGCCCAATGGTAGATGATGATGATATTGATATTCAAATGCTACGGTTCTTTAATTCAACCAATGGCAATACATTTACTGCTAGAATCAATAATCTTGATGCTATGTCTTGTCATATTTTTGGTGTACGTGCATACATAGACAGAGGACCTGGTGGATGGGTCTTCATTGCTAATGAGACATTGATCAGTACTCAATTTGTGACACTAACTACATGTACATGTACTCAAGAAGTAGGATCAACTAGTACAGGTATAATAATGAATGTGCTAAAATTAAGACGAAAATAATTTCATATTTTTATAAAAAGTATCAGGAGCTGTTGATGGTGCTAGTATTGG